ACTTGGGATCATGTGAGACCAGCCTGTTTTCGTGAGACCCGTGAGACCAACATTTTACACTTGACACTTCACAGCAAAATACTGTGAAGGTGATTTTTTAAAACCTTCACAGTGTTTTTGCTGTGAAGGTTCGACTTTTTTTAAACCTTCACAGTGTTTTTGCTGTGAAGGTTACGTGTAAAAACGTGGTCTCACGGGTCTCACGAAAACATGCTGGTCTCACGTGAACCCAACCCTATATATATACGTATATATATATATATACATATATATATATATATATACATATATATATATAGATATATAGAAGGGTCCATTCAAGGAAGAACTAAATAGTTTGCGGTAACCGTGAGATCCAATCTCAACCACAAATCAATAGATAAATTAGGAAATTTATAATTTTGGTAATTTTTTTTTAAATTTTAATGCAATGACATTTTAGGTATTTTCTCTCATCTCTCCTCTCTTCTCTCTCCGTCCTCCAGCCTCCGGCCACCGGTGATACCACTGTGATACATAAAAATATTGACTCTATTAAACAAAAGATACATTGTAATACCCAATCATATATAAGATGCATTATGATACCACTGTGTTGCATCTTCGATCGACCACACAAACGACCTTAATGTGATACCCAAGCACATATATGATGCATTGCGATACTACTGTGGTATCACCAGAGGACGGTGGCCGGAGAGATGAGAGTTTTAAAATACCAAAAATATCCTTGCATTAAAATTTTAATTCAAAATTACCAAAATTATAAATTTCTTAATTTATCTATTGATTTGTGGTTAAGATTGAATCTTACAGTTACCACAAACTAATTAGTTCTCATTTGATTAGGCCTATATATATATATATATAGAGAGAGAGAGAGAGAGAGAGAGTTTGGTTCAAATATTAACCAAGATTTTTGTGTTAACTTTGTTAACCAATCTCAACCAATCATATTCCATCTTTTCTTTAGGTTCACATATAACTCATATATTAATGACAAGGGTAATTAAGTAATTTGTCATTTATGTAACTCCCAAATCATTAATTGGGAGTTACAAATCTTAAAATCTCAATAATTGATGATTATGTAATATTGATATTTTTTATACGTGTTTATGTTTTGTAATTTCGATTTATTCTATACATAATGATATTGATTTTGTAATTGTTAAAGAATTTTCGATTGTAAAGATTTCGATATCGTCTGAGTAATATGAATAAACCTATTGGAAAACAGATCAACAACAATGAGAATGAAAAGGTTAAAATCGTGTACGACTACAATCGCAATTCGAATTCATATGTAATTGTTAAAGAATTGTTCACAAGTATTCATATTGTGTTCATATGTACACTAGCTGCATATCTCAACATTGGCTTGCTTTTGAATGTGTTCATAATGAAGGAACTATTGTTCACAAACTGTTCATATTGTGTTCATATATACACTASCTGCATATCTCAACATTGGTTTGCTCCTGAATGTGTTCATAATGAAGAAACTATTGTTCACAAACTGTTCATATTGTGTTCATATATACACTACATGCATATCTCAACATTGGTTTGCTCCTGAATATGTTCATAATGAAGGAACTATTATTCACAAACTGTTCATATTGTGTTCATACCTATTTATTTATTTATTTACTTTTGTGTAGCAAATATTTTTATTATATTCATATTGTGTTCATAAATGCTATACAGTCCAAGTTCATGTATATGTCAACTTTTTGTTCGTATTTGATACAATGGTTGTGTGTGTTCATATGGTTCTTACATTATCAAAAATAAAATAATAAAAATAATGAGATTTTTTGATTTTGTAACTCCCAATTAATAATATGGGAGTTACATGAAAAAGAAAATTACATAAATATATTTTTCTCATTTGTTCGCATATGTTATTAAATTGTAAATTTAAAATTTTAATTTTATATCATGATTAATCACAACTCTTTATTGTGAGAATCAATGGCCAAGATTGGTTAATAAAATTAACACAATAATCTTGGTTAACATTTATATATATATATATATATATATATATATATATATAAACCAATTTTTAAATATATATTCCTTATACAAATTTGACCGTTATTGAAGGTCATGTATATATTGATCGCCTTTGTTTTGCCACTTGCCGTACAGAAGAAAGGCTTTTCAAGTTTCCCCCTTTTTCCACTGCCGCGCATAATTTATGGAAACTCCACCGTCTCCGCCGCAGCCGCCAATTGAGGCCGACGTCGCCTCCGCCGCGAAACCAAACTTCGGTGATTGCAATATGACTCTGAAGGAGAACCATACCGGACAAAACTCCACGTCGAATGTCATAGTTATCAAGAAAAAGATGAAGAATAAAAAGAAGAGGAAGGACGTACAAAAATCTCACGTCGACGTCTCTTCTGATCATCCACAACGATCTTTGAATGCGTCTTCATCTTCTTCTTCATCTATTGCTACTTCTAATTTATTGCATCCAAGATCGAAAGGCATTCGTCTCTCCAGTAATCGTAGAAACCCTAGAGTCTCTAGCGGACCCGTTTCGCGAAGACAGATTGGCAGCGAAGCAGACGCGCTTGCTCTTCCTCTTGGAATGTCGATCGCGGCTTTTGTTGCTCAGGTTCTTACCAATTTATTGTTTAATTGCTACTGTTATGTTGGATTTGATTGAACTGTTCTTACCACAATGTTGAATATTTGTGTAAGAATAAAATCCTAATCTGAGAAACAATGAATGGGTCACTAAAAACTGTGTCAGACTCTGCAATAGGGGTGAATGATGAGGTTCGTATAATGGATATCAATCAACAAGTTAATCTCTTGGTGAAAGCAATAAGATGATGATATAAGAAATTATAATTTTTTTGCTGTGTCAGACTCTGCAATTTGGTTTCGGGAACTAAGTTTCAGGATCATAAAATTTTGAACTCCTGCAATTTAAGGGAACTCTAATAGGTTGGTCTAGATGACAAGCAACTAAAGGCAAAACACTGCAATCCCGTCCAGACCATTTTTTTCATTTTTGGTAATCGTGTGTGTGTCGGCCATTTTATGCATCTCGACTAATCCCATGGGCCCCGAAGATAACAGCCAGGAAAATTCTCCAGTGACCTGTAGGAGAACCGAAGGCATATAGCCTTTATTTGTCAGTTGAGTACTTGAGTTGGTCCTCAAGGTACATCCGGGTTCTTGTTGCCATTTGTCTAGTTTTGGGAATATGGGTACACATTCTTGCTTGGGACAGTGTTTCTTTAACATTAAGGGTAGTGTCCCGCAATGTATATGATGACATATAATGAATCAAGAAAATAAAAATGTGATCTTGATTGTTATGCTTGGTGAAGTTGATTGATTTTTCTAAAGCATCGGTATTTTAGAAAGCAGGTTGCTAATATACCTTGCGTCCTTGCCAAGCATTTGCCTATAGTCCTGTTCTTAATATATACCGTTATTTTACTAGCATTTGCTCGACAGTTCTTGTTTTTAAGTTATTTTATAGGTTTTTTTCCTTTTATCTGTCTTGGGTATCAGTATTCTAGAGTCACTGGTTAGAAATTCTATTAAAAAGACAAACTTGATATATAATATACTTGTAAAGAATCATCGTTACTGATTCTTCTGGTCTTTTCAATTCCCCTTTCAAGAAGTTGAATATTTGTAAGTTATGTAAACCATGGCCTAACCATCATACCCCGATTGAATCTCCTCATTCAGAAAATGCACATTTATCAGATAAATGACAGTAAACTTGTGTGGTTATACAGGACATGAGAAAATATACATGCTTATCTTTAAAAAATGGATTTTTTTTCCTTATCTCAAAATACTTTATTTCTAAGCTTTAATCGACTCTAATATGTATCAGGTGTTGGAAAGGAAAGATGCAACTGGTGAAAAGATGTCTGCAGATTATCTCTCTCAGGTAATCATTTTACTTGGTCTGTTAATATTTATAATCGGAGAATTTTCATTCGATGCATTTGTATCTTGTGCTGCTCGTGTAGACAGCTCTGGTTGGAACATCCTGCTGATAACTTTTCAGCTGTCGATTGTAAGGTGTTGGTACGTTTAGAGATGTAACAATGACTAATTTGTGGATATTAGGGGGGTTGATAGCTGTTTCTGTACATGAACAACTTCACTTAATAGATTCTTTTCTTTGAGAGACCTCTTTGGCCAACAAGTCCACAGGTTCATGCAAATTGCCCCCGGTGCATTTGGTACTCGGACAAAACGGGATAAAACAGTACAAAAACTAGTTCCGTGACATTAGACTAGGACAAGACAGGACCTGAGTGTGACAAAAATGCATTTTTTCTGTCCCAGCAAAATAGGTGGCAGAAAAATAGGGAGATGGGACAAGATTGGTAAATTACTAAACTACTCATTTCAAAATTAAACCCGTCTGCCTCAGTCTCGACCGCCCAGTCTTGTCAAGTCCGGTCCGTGTATCAAATGCACTCATGCTACATTGGACTCAAGGCCTGGGGAATTGACCATTAGGTCAGCCCCTTGATCGATGTCTCTTGTTTTTCTTCTTCCCTTGTTTTCTATGCAGATGGATTTTGTTCTGATCAAATATTTACTCACAGATATGCACTTTGGCGGTTAAAGAGTCGTTGTTCAATGTAAGATTTTCAATTTCACCTCCGTAATTACCTGTGCTTTTTTACGTTGATATGCTTCTCATAACGGGTTACTGTACTATGATCGTTAAAAGGTTTTTGGCGACAAATTTGACTGCTTTGTGAGCAACTTTGAGAGATCTTTTCAGAGCACCTTGATGACACTCAGAGTAATCAGTGAATCATCGAGAAACAAGGAAGAAAGGCCATATCACAATGGGGAAGGCAGTTCAACCTGCGGTTCTGGTGGAAATGATTTTAATTTCGATACGGAAGGGAACAGATCCACGTGCCAAGACCAAACCACCATTGTTGGTGAAGATGAAGAAATTGTGCATCGAGATCCTGTTTCTCGTGAGCTTGCGGTTCTTGATGACTCGAGATACGTTCAACAGTTGGCTTGCATTGCTCCAAACCAACTGCATTCTGGAGGTAACCAGTCCATGCTTAGCACCCTTGAAAGATCTGTAAGTGAACAAACACGATCGAATGATCTCAAGGCGTTTGAAATCAGTCTAATTATGAAAAAGATGAAACTCAAAGAAGCACAGATAGCCGTTGATTGTGATTCGAATTATTTGGAGAGGTTTAAGTTATCCATGGGCATTTCAAAAGCCAACTTTAGAGCTGAAAAGTTCAAAACGGAATTAGAAGACTCGAGGCATGCGCAGCTGCTTAAAAAGTGTGTCGATTGTCTCGTTGCTGGTTTGCTGATTATGTTGGCTTGTCTTGCTTATGGAACTTACATTCATTCCCATCAAAGGCTCATTGAAGCTACCGAATCATGTATGCCCGTCAAGGTAAGGATCAATCTCATTTTCTGCGGGTGTATCATTAATTTTAACGTTTAGGCTATAAGCTAGTTGTTGGTTAATAAGCTGGCTATCTCTTGAGAAGCTAATTGCCAACTCATAAACTAAGAACTGACTGATAAGCTAGATGATGATGTAAATTAACCTAAAAGGACATGTTGACAAAGTAATTAGAAAAAATATAAGGTGCATAATTGGGAAATGCCCCTGGAAAGCTAGCTAATGGCTAACTAGACGGGTTTTTTAATAAACTAAAAAATAAGTTCTACAAAAAAATTGGCATTATAGGATGCCAAATATGTTTAAGGGCCTGTTTGTTAGCAGCTTAACGAGACTCAACACCTTATTCGATTAGCTGTAAATGACTGGTTGGTAGTGGTTTAATAATATAGAAAGTGGCTTATTCAGTAAGCTTCCAAGGGTGAGCTTTATGTAGAAAGTCAAGTTTTTTCCAAACATGTCCTTCCCAATTAAAAACACTCTCCTCCAAAACAAAAACCCTTCTAATCTATAGAGACAGATTAATCTACACGGACAACTTAATTCATACTGGACTTGATGAAAAACGAACCAAACAGCCGTAAGTGTGTGTCCTATGTAGAAGTGTTACAGAAAGTTGATAGGATGTTTTTGAGCGTCCTAACAAGGTTTTTAGGATGCCTTCTGAAATAAAGTGTTCGAGAAATGTTCTATGAACACGTCTTTTTATAGGATACTTGTTTTTACAAGACACTTCTCAAATAATGTCATTAAAAAACTAAATACGATGTTCTATTTTAAAAGTGTCCTAAAAAAATTGTTAGGCGTCCAAAAGCGTTCTATCAACTTGTAACACTAATAGGACAAACAATTGTATAGTCCCATAAAACAATCTATTAAGACATTTAGATATATTTGGCGTTCTATAAAGCTGATTCTGTTGTGGTGAGTTAACTTATATATAAGCTAGCTTAATGTTGCCAAACATGCTTTAATCTTGTGTTAATTGTCTGTGGGTTCTTAAGGAATCAAGTTCTTGGTGGATTCCAAAACCGATGGCATCTTTCAGTTCAGGGTTCCAGATCCTGCAGTGCCAAGTTCAAGTCATAAGCCGTATGCTATTCGGCGTGTTGATGATCATTGTAATCACGTTTCTGCTCATTAAACGCTCGGGAACCACGAATCAAACAATGCCAGTTACGTTCATACTTCTGCTACTGGGTGTCGGCTGCGGTTTTGCAGGAAAGTTTTGCATCGATACATTGGGAGGCAGCGGAAACCATTGGCTCGTTTACTGGGAAGTTCTTTGCTTGGTACATTTTTTCGCGAATGTTTGTACCTCAATGTTGTTCTTTATTCTTCATGGACCCGTTACAGTGACCGAAAGGTCCGTGAGCAGTAAGTTATTCCCGTATTGGTTTAGACGGTTTGTGTTCTATGCCATGGTGTTGGTGTGGCTACCTTTGCTCTGTGGTTTGATTCCGTTCGCTGGGCCTGGCGAGTGGCTTGAACATTTTGGTTCGTTGATCGAGAGTCGTGTGTCTTGATGAACGCTTACGTTTGTAAAATCGCTAAACGTCCAAGCTTTGTTCTATTTATGTCCGATGATTGGTTTTTGGAAGGTTTGTAAATGTTAAACGGTCAACAACTGATATATAAATGAGATGTTAAAGAGTTGGGGACTGTTTACCTAACGTTTACTATGTATCATCACATCTTATTGTGTAACATTCTCGGTTATCAAAATGGATTGTTGGTAAACATGTCTTATCTGGTGATCACTACCTGCATAAAAATCATCTGCTACACTTATTGGGTAAGATTAACATTTTATATTATTTAGTTTTTCTTTACTATCTTGTGTGTATTAACTGACATACTACATTTTTGTTTTAATTATATTATGAAATATTGTAATTAACTAATTTTTCAAGATGTCTTTTTTGATCATTTTTACATTTTTCATCTTGCTTACCGCTAGTTTTTGTCAAATGTGATTTGTTCATTAGTTAACTTATCAGCTATTTTGTCAAAAATAATTTGAATATATAAAATGTCTTATTCTAAAAATATATTTTTTAAACAAAAATTTAGAGAAAGTATATACCTTTATATTCAATTGATCCTAATAATTATAATGAATATTTTGAATTGCTTAAAAAGAATAAAATAATATTTTTATTTTATGGTATGATACACTTGATAATTGATATCATCAAATCAATGATATTTTTAAAACATTTAGTATACCAAGGTGATGGTTGGCAATTACTAAATGGTTTGATGCAGAATAATTAAGTGGTTAGAATGATTAAGAGACCCTCATGATATAGTGCAAAATAAAATATAATTGTTTGGTAATTGTGTACAATAAAATTAGTGCTCTTAATGGTTAAGGAATATCCAATATACAAAATCATTCAGAGGGTTTTAGATACATTAAGAGGCAGATTTTTTTTTTGCCAAACAAGATTCACCTCTTAACGATTTAGAGGTTGCCTCTTAATGGAACTATTAAAAGGTACAAACAACCCCTAAATTACATGTTTGTAAGAATTATTAATTGATAAATAAATAAATTTAAATTATACTTTTATTAATGAAAATACTTCAGGGGATTTTACCAAACGTTTATTGGTATGAGATATCACCCTCACTTACCTTATCGTGTATCATTCTCAGTCATCAAAATAGATTGTTGGTAAACATTTTAAACCCGATAAGCACTTATATGATAAGAGTCTTTCCCTCATTTGTAGGTAAAACTCTCTATCATTGATATACAAGAATGAAACTCAAAGGAATTGACAGGGGTCCGCACAAGCAGTGGAGCATGTGATTTAATTCGATGCAAAGCAGTTTTTATGGGGCGTAGGCCTCCAAAGGTGTAACGATCTGGACACTGTTTTGGGGAGAGCCTTTCGTGTAGGTCGGAACTTACCCGAAAAGGAATTTGTCCATTTTTCGGGCCATTGAACCGACCCAACCAGCAACCAAATTTATCGTAACAAAAAATCAACTCGAATAAATCAATGAATATTCAATTATGCCTCTTACTGGGTAAGATTCTCGGTTATTTTTATGTTCAATCGGTGATATAAGTGACATCGATAACCGCTTACCCGTTAAGTGTTTAGTAAACGGCCCAGTCTTCTTTTATAAAGAAAATACCGTAATGTTTTAAATATCAATGTATACCAATTGTTCTATTAGTTAAAATGCAGTAAAAGTTCATAAAATAATGAAAGAGTGTGCAATTTTGTGCAGAAAAGTTGATTACCAGCAACTCCAACCGGCTCCACACAGAACCAGTCTCCAAGGACACCAATCTCATGGGCATTTTTTTGCTCACTCAGCAGCTGAGGCTAGTGGGGACCTAAGATCGAACCCAAGACTTGTCTTGTATTTGAGCAAAGTTGTCCCACCTTTGACAACTGAGGTACACACGAAAGGCAGTGTGCAATTTTAACCATCGTACTAGTCATTTTGTTACTAACATACAGTTCAAAATCGTCTTAAATTGCACGTTTTTGGCTTTTTGCATACTTTAATATTACTTTTAGATCATAACACGTATCATAATTAATTAATTCGTATCATTTTTACATCCCTACCACTCGAATCTTTGATCTTGAGTCATCATGACTGTCTTAGCTTCATGTAGTTTGACCATGCTTATCAACTCATCTCCATGCCCAACGATCTGATACAAATCGTTGAAGCCTTGGGAGATTGATTGTGCAGGTGTCGAATCAGACACATCACAACCAATCTCAGTAACACCAATATCAGTATGTGAAGAAGAATCACAAGTTCCGACATACTTACTAAGATAACTTTTCAAACTACCAACGTAATCCTGGAACCCAAGAGTCGTCATGGCCCATAACAGATCATCCCCATTGATCGTCTTTCGCTTCTCTCTCTGGCACTTGTCTGCGGCTTCTCCAGTGATGAAGCTAATGAACTCCGACACACATTCCTGGACCGTCTCCTTGGCTTCTTTGGATACTTTGGCATTACCCGGGAGCGATTTTTTCATTATACGACCGACATTGGCTATCGGGAGAAGCCGTTCTTGGTCCTTAGAGGAACCGTCCGAGACATTGCTAGACGACAGGGTACGGGTCGAACCGGTTTGCGTTCGTTTTCCCGTCATTAAGGAGTTGTGGATACACAAAGAGTAATGGTTGCGGGGGTTTTATGGTGAAAGAAGAGGAGAAAATAAGCATTTAAAAAGGTGCAAAGACGGTTTGATGCGGACAAAAAATATAAAATATAATTGAAAATTTAATTTTGTTACATTTAAAAAAAAATAAGAATTATTTTGTGAAATTCAAATAACATGTGAAAAGGGTTTGCAGCCTGCAGATGATGCTTCTGCCGTCAATATTTTCACATAATAAAATAAATAAATATATTTTTTTATATATTAATTAAAATTATTTAATTAAACTTTTGACATTATTATACCACTAGTACGACATTGGTCAAACCAAAATTTCCAAATGTTTTTTTTTGGAATTATCTATACTGTATTATAAAATATTTGACAAAAATTTATAAAAAATTTTGTTCTCACGTGAACCCAACTCTATAAGCTTATATATATATATATATATGGTTGGGTTCACGTGAGACCAACGATTTTTCGTGAGACACATAAGACCAATTTATGTTCATTGATCAACTTCATAAGCTAATGATCTAAGTTGCATGGTGACAATTTTGTAATTATTAAGAAATCTTGTGACAATTTTGTGATTATGAATGTTTAGATTGTCGATCTAATCCAAAGGTTGAGAGTTAGTCTTACGAAAAATCTTTGGTATCACATGATCTCAAGTCTCTCTCTCTCTCTCTATATATATATATATATATATATAGGGGTTCATTCAAAGAAGAACTGAGTTGTTTGTGGTAACCGTGAGATCCAATCTCAACCACACAAATTAATAATTAATGGTTGAAAATAAAAGAAAATTTAATTACTGAAATTCCAAAAATAACTCTCCAATATTTGATGTGAGTATGTAAATAAGGGCAAAAGGGTAAAAAAAATTAATTTAATGAGATTATTTTGAGCACCCTAAAAATCCGTTAATCTTCTAATATTATATTTCATCAAATCAAAACAAAAAACACAAAAGATCCTGTTTTTTGTGCGAGAAGAGGTGGAAAATAATTTGTAGGCTTTGGTTGAACATGTTGTGTTACATTGTGGTAAAAAAAGATTGTGTTTTCATGTGTTATCCAAAAGATTGTGGTTTCATGTGGTAATAAAAGAAAAACATTGGTACAAAATGAAGTGGCTGTTCGAAAATAGGACTTCTTGCTATATTCCATAACATGAAGATATTTTATAGTCACAGTATCTGTATATAAGATTTCAATAGAGATGTGAATTTGCTGCATAAACACAAGAAAATAATCCAGTCAATGAGCATTCAACTACACTTTGTGTAATATCTCAATCACATAGTAGCAAACCATACAAGAAAACCACCAAACCACTAAACCTATGGTGAGAATTCTTTGATAGCCTACAACCAAGAACTCATAAGTCATCACGGGCTACAAATTCCAATAGTTACTGATGCGGGATAAGGTGTTACAATACCAACAGTGTATTAGGTAACACAAGATGTTTTGTTACATTGTGGTAAAAAAAATTGTGGTTTCATGTGCTACCCAAAAAATTGTGGTTTCATGTGGTAATTTAGTAAGGTAAAATCAAAATTAATTGGAAGTTTGAAACGTATGGAATTAATAAATAAATATTTAATTTAAATTTAGTAATTTACTAAAATGCCTTTTTACATTAATTTAAAAAAAAATTAATATATTAAAATAATTGATTGATATTGGATCTTACGGTTACCACAAACAAAACAATTATCATTTGATTAACCCCGTGTGTATATATATATATATATATATATATATATATATATATATATATATATAT